AAGTATTGTAACAGAAGCCTTGTATTGGATATGGATGTCACAAAATGCTCAATGTTAATTCCCACATACATAAGTCCACTTATGTTGCTGTAACTTTTATACAGGAAGTTCAATTCTGGTTGAAGTTTTTTGATTGTCAAACTACTGCCAAAAAACTACTCCCCCCACCCCCATTTTGGATTAAAAAGTAATTTACCTTACTATTTTCATGACAAATTTCACTCAAGCTGAACAAAGTGTTGTTTGCTTTCTGCCAAGTTGTTAAATTATTCCTGTATCTGAATAAAAGATGTCAGTCATTAACATAAACAAAATAATGTTTTTTTATTTATCTATATTTCTTACACCACTTATCTCTTGTTTCTGATCATAAAATCTCTGGACAACATAAAGTAATGTTGAACCATATATGAAATTACTAGAATAATACAAACAGTCTACAACCATGTACTAATACAAATTTGAACAAAATAATTAGATCTCACTGATGGTCCCTTCAACAAACATCAGTCTGCAAGCAAGTCCATATGGAAGGAGGACACCTTAAGGGACATACCATTTACTTCATGTGTGCAGCACCACATACATAAAACTAGTCTGAAAATTGTGTTGTAGAGTTTGCTTTTTAGTAACTGAACAAATTATGAGGCTACAATTGGCCCCATTTTAGAGTCCATCGTTAATATACACTTATGCCTAAAATGTTGGCTGATCCAGTGCAGTTTCCTTCTTTAGTTGCCACAAGTTATGTAGAATTATATAAAAGAATTGTGGACCAAGATACAGATACAGATAGATATACTGAAGTTCATAATAATAATCTCTATACAGCCCTGCAACATATTCTTCATTTAATAACAATCTGATGACATGCTGTCCCATCACGCTGAGTCTTTCAAGTTTTAGAGTCCTTAGAATGCAAAGTACATCCTACTCTACACAATAGAAGTTACCCATCCAGTTTTACGCGTGAATTTTAAACTCGTGCCTTGTGTTTAATCTCTGTTCTGTGTATTTTAATATGTATTTTAAATAAATACGTTTTAATATGTATATTTTATAGAAATATATTTTATTATGTATATTTGTGGAATTTTTATAATGTTTATGTGTTTTAACTTTGAGCCACAAGGAGAGGTGGGTAATAAAAACATTATTACTACTACTACTACTACTACTACATGGGACAGTACTTTTAATGGCATTAATTTGAATGTAAAATCCTTAAATGTTCAATTCTGATAATGCAGATTGGAGTTCATGAATAAATTTATACTGCACTGTTTTATTATATACTGTTGTAAGAATTTGCAAATGTGCATTACTTCATGGAAAAGTCATGTTTGTGCTGTGTTGTGTCACGTCCCAAAACAGAAGTGATTAGGTGTGTGAATAATCCCATCTGGAAACCACTACTATTATCTACCTGTCCCCCCCCCCCCCAAATATATCCAAGCTGTGCAGACTTTATGTAATCCTTCCAATTTAGAAAAAAAATGTATTTCCCTTATTTAGGACAGGAAAGATCCATCATAATCAGAGTAAGCCTTTTTATTCTGAAAGCTATCAAGAAAAGAACAGATTTCCTGAAAGAAGAACAAGGAAAATAAGACTCTGACTGTAAATAGAATGTCAGCTGCTATTCTCCTTTTTGCCTTGTTTTTTACTCATGTTCTATTTTGAAATGCTCATATGACTGGTCAAATAAATAAATAAATAAATATTATTTCCCGTATTTAACTTTTGCACACTTATTTTTTTCAAGAACTCCCCAACCTTTTAAAAATGTTATACTGTGCAGAATGTCACCAACAAAAAGGAGTGAAGAATCCCCAGATAATTAAAAAAATGGGTTACAAAGAGACAACTATTGCCACATTTTTTGCTTTTACCTTGCAAAGGAAACATGCTGTTGGTGGCACTAGATTACAAGTCTATGTGTTTGCATGTGTCATGTGAATAGAAAATTCAAGCAGAAGAATACCAGTACTGGGAATAATTATTGTAACTTTCTTTCTGTCTGAGTCTGCTATATGAAAGCTTAAACCAAATAAAGCGAATTAATCTTTATGATAACATAAAAGCTCTTATTTCTAACCTTACAGTCTTCTGAAAGTTACTGTAGACCAAGGAAAAAATAAAAGTCAGAGTGGATGATCAAATTCTACATTTTGAAATACCATTGAACAAACTGGGAATCTGATCAGTAGAACGCTGATCCAAGAAAATGCCCCACAGATTTTCCAAAATCCTCTCTTCCTGCATCATCATTCACCTCATTCAATAGTATTTATTATGGAGAAAAGGGAAAATTTGTTCCTCTGGCCTTGTTGCTCGCAGTTGAATTTGCCTTCAATAAGATGAATACATCCTGTTCTCATTCCTGGTTGCTGATGAGCAGTTTAAAATTAAATAGCTGGTGGCACTCTAACCATTACTGTCAACCATAAAGCAGAAAGAAACTATACAACACAAATAAAAAATATTCTGTTTCCTTAAGCCTTGTAATTAATCTTTAAATAGTTGTCATGGCCAAGTAAAATTGGGTTATGGATATGGAGACCAATGATAGTAAAGACTGAATGAGAATGTTAAATGTCTGTTGAATGCACACTAGATTTTTCTGGCAGCAGAGAGACTGTCAGAATTAATACAATCATCTTTAAAAGATGAGGAATGCATGGATGGATTTAAGTCTTTGATTTGAGGAAGTCAGAATTGAGGGAGTGTAATGAAAAATCTCAGAAGAGTAATGTCAGTATTGTGTCTAAAGGACAGTGGAAAAATAACTTGTAGTATTTGCAAGAGCCCTTTGGGACTAGTTGTAGTAGAGAAGGAGTAAAAGGGAATACCACTAGGATGGGCTCCAGGGCCAGCCAGTGTAATCTAAAAGGTATACTTCTGTATCCTTGGTTCAGGGCACTGTTGTAATTTGCCATCTGGTTAGCTTCAACTTGTGGCAGTCACTCTTAGGTGCAGCAGTTATCAACAATCCTGGTTTCCTTCCTCTGAAGTGTAGTCTTCCCCTTCTGTAGTCTTTGGCTTTGATCATCTCTTCCACTGAACATGTTGGGTGAACATGATGGAGGTGCTGCACCCTAGTTTCATGGGATGGGTTTCCTGGGTACTTTCTGGGGTCCACATGAGATCAGGAGGCCCAGAGCTGATCCCTGGCTTTCTTGGAGGTCCTTCTGCTGTTGCTACCCATTCAATTGTCCCCTTTTTGGGGGCAATAGGACCGGACATAGTGGGCAACAAGGCAGGTTCACAGAGGGTCATCCATGTTGCGATAAGTCTTAGCAGGACCAAGTGTGTGTATGTGTGTTGAAGAAAAACCTTATGGTGTTAATTATTATGTACAGCTGGTAATGTAGGTCAACCAGCAAGCTTGGACCACTCCCAATGGGGTATATCTGTATGGGTTTTTTTTTTAAAAAAGAATACAGTGTGCGTGGTGGAGAGCTTCTGGAGAGCTTTTTATCTGAGGAGATCTATGCTCAAAGGCTTTGCTCTGGGGAGCAGCATGGAGAAGCTACTCTGAAGGAGGCTATGGTGGAATAGCTATTTACTCAAGGTTTATTTTTGCTCTCTCATTTGATGTAAGATGTTACTTACAAGGACTATGTAAGCTTCTTGCATTGTTTGATTTTTGTATGCAACATTACAAGTTTATGTTTCATCTCTGCTGAGTAAAGAGTAAAGATTTTTCTGTTCATTGTTCCTCTTGTCTGTGAGTCTACTACATTTGGACTGGGCGCTGGGTAAAATCCGCTGCTGCACAACAATCCTGCCCAGGGATACTCTCAGCATCACAGATCTAAACAGACGAGGCATGGTCAAACTTTAGCCCTCCAGGTGTTTTGGACTTCAACTCCCACAAGCCCTAAGTCCAAAACACCTGGAGGACTGCAGTTTGACCATGCTTAGTCTAGACTGAGTAAGCGCACACTTCACACAAACATAACAAACAACCTTACTATGATTGCTGCTCCTATAATAAATACTGTTGCCCCAAGTCATGACAAGGTAAAAGAAGGGAAGAGAGGAGAACCAGGGCCCCGTAAAGAACTGGAAGGGTGTTGGAGGGCTGCAAGTGAAATAAAGTGAAAGATGGGTAGAGGTATAAAAAATGGGGAGAGATATAAAAATAAGAAAGGGGGGGGGTACTTTCAAGTAGCCTGTGAATTTGTGGTTTCCTTAAGCAAGGAAATTCTGCCGATTCCCTCCCTGAAACATAGCTTATAGAACTTGGTTAATTCAAGTATGGGATTGCTGTGAGTTTTCCGGGCTGTATGGCCATGTTCTCTCCTGACGTTTTGCCCACATCTATGGCAGGCGTCCTCAGAGGTTGTGAGGTCTGTGGGAAACTCGGCAAGTGGGGTTTATGTCTAGAATGTCTGTTGGAAGCGAGTGTGAATGTTGCAATTGGCCACCTTGATTAGCAATGAATAGCCTGGGAGCTTCAAGGTTCATTCATAATGTCATGAGATCCCTGTGTATAGTTATCGTAGTACACAAGGTTAGCTATCCTTTCCATGGGATGAAGCAGGGCATACAAAAATTATTTTTATGACTTTAGAATAGATGGCAAATATCTGTGGAACAATGTCCGGGGTGGGAGAAAGAACTCCTTGTCTGGTGGAAGTAAGTGTGAATGTTGCAACTGGCCACCTTGATTAGCATTGAATGGCCTTGCAGCTTCGAAGCCTGGCTGCTTCCTGCCTGGGGGAATCCTTTTGTATTAACCAGGGCTGACCCTGCTTAGCTTGCAGGGCTCTTTAGGTACTATAGGAGAGAGTTGGAATAGGAAGCGCGGGGGGAGAGGGGTAAAGAAAGAAAGCCATTCAAGGCGAGGGACGTAGCTAGGCAGAAAGGCCTGTGGCTGTGGGAGGAAGGAGGAGGAAGAGAAGGAGAAGAAAAGGGGGCAAAGCGAGGGGGGAAGAGAGAGAGAGAGAGGCTTCCTTCCTTCCCTCAGAAAGCGAACCGCAGAGAGCATCACGTCATCGCTTCTCGCGCTGCCCACCGCGCATGCGCAGCATTGCGGTCCTCGCTTCCATCAGTCTCAGGCTCGCGACTCCCAAAACATCTGGGGAAGGAAGGAAGGGAGGAAGGGAAGGGAAGGGAAGGGCGGGGGAGGGGAGCGATGTGCGCGAGGGCTCCCTTTGGCTGGGCCGGCTGCCTCTGAAGCCGTTACTACCCAGAAGCCCGCGCGGCGCTGGCCGTTCCGTCATGGCGGAGGCAGCCGCGGCGCCCGCTGAGGCAGCCCCGCCGGACCCGGGCAGCTCAGCCTGAGCCGCCTCGCCCCACGGGCGCCCCTTCAGCATGAGCGGAGACGGGGGAGGAGGAGGAGGAGGCTCCGGCTCATCTTCTTCTTCGTCGTCGTCGTCGTCCTCGCCGTCTGCCCCCGGCCGCTTCGCCGACTATTTCGTGATCTGCGGGCTGGACACCGGGACCGGGCTGGAGCCGGACGAGCTCTCCGGTGAGTCCCTCTTGGCGGCGGTGAAGGGAGGCGGAGGCGGAGGCGGAGGAAGGAGCCGGTCCGCGGCGCCTCTTTCGGACTCCTGGGCCTCTCTGAGGGGAAAGGATGGGAGAGCTTTGGGCAGCGCGAGGGCCTCTCCGCTCGTGCCCACCCAGCGCGCGGAGGGGCCCTCTCCTCCACAGAAGCGCCCCTTTCTAGCGGGCCGGGCCTTTGCCTCAAAAGTGAGTGGCCCCTGCCACCCTGAGGCGCAGCCACGGAGGGACGCCCTGAAGACAGAGAGGGAGAGAGAGGGGACGGCGCCCGCTTTGTGTGGTGACAACGGGACCCTCATTCGCTCTCCCTCCGACTGCCCTCTCCTCCCCCGGAGATATTTGGGCAATGGAATAATAGCAATAATGATAATGATGATATACTGTTGCTTCTCATGGGGGGACCCAAGGCAGGCGCTGAAGGACCAGGTGAAATCCGTTGCCACCGCAGGGCTATTACTGTACGTTCTGGGTGTGTATATATCAGGCATGGGCAAATTTGGGCCCTCCAGGTGTTTTGGACTTCACCTCCCACAATTCCTAACACTCTCAGGGCCCTTCCTTTTCTTCCTCATCAGCTTAAGCCCTTTGGGTGTTTTGGACTTCAACTCCCACCATTCCTAACACCCTTATTATAATTATAATTATAATAATAATAATAATAATAATTATTATTATTATTATAACTTTATTTGTACCCCGCTAGCATCTCCCAAGGGATTCGATGTGGCTTACACAGGCTGAAGCCCCAAAACACATACAACAATACAATACCTAAAGCAAAATAAAACAGTTAAGCAGGAAAACAATAAACAGTAACAATGCAACAAGACACTATTAAAACTGGGCCGGCCGGAGTAGGGGTACAGGATTAAAAGTGCTGATGTAGAGGGAGGGATGTAGGATTATAATATAAGTGCGGTGTGCAGTGACCCTCAGGCCCCTTCCTCCCCCCCCCCCATCTGCTTAAGCCCTTCGGGTGTTTTGTACTTCAACTCCCACCGTTCCTAACAGTCTCAGGCCCCTTCCTTCCCCCCCCCCCCTCAGCAGCTTAAGCCCTTCGGGTGTTTTAGACTTCAACTTCCAGAATTCCTAACACCCTCAGGGCCCTTCCTTTTCTCCCTCAGCCACTTATACGGCTGAGGGGGAAAAGGAAAGGGCCTGAGGCTATTAGGAATTGTGGGAGTTGAAGTCCAAAACACCTGGAGGTCCCAAGTTTGCCCATGCCTGGTATATATGCATATTATATTTTATGGTTTGTGTATATCAGTATAATATAACATTTAAATGTGTGTGCGCGATTAATGTACGCTCGGTGTGTGTATATAATAAAAATATTAATAATATTACTTTATTTATACCCGCCACCATCTCCCATAGGGACTCACAAAATAACACACAAAGATGCCATACATAAAATACATAATACATCAAATAAAACACATCAGCATGACAACAATAACAACATTACATGAACCAGGTATATAAACCTCTGTTAAAAATAGATTCAGTTAAAAGATCCATGTAATACTATAGCAGCTCAACTGAACACACAGAATGGGGACATAGAGGGCTAAGTGTTCGGCAATCAGTTCTGGTTACTGTCAAAGCCAGTGATTCGCACTCTTTGTTTGACCAGGGACCACTTTGACGATTCTCCAACATTAGTACCAGAAGGGTTATAAATCAGTTAACTTTAGATTCGGTTTGGTTATTTGGGGTGTTGATTCAGAAAATTGCATTGGGTAAACCACATCAGCTCTGGTTTCTGATACAAAACATATGCCATCCAGTAGTTGCCATCTGCTTGCCCACAGAAATCCATATGTAATAAGCTTTGGCACTATAAGAAGGTTTTGCAAGACCAGTCGCTCTTGTTGCATCGGTGTAATAAGGGTGAGGCCACGGACCATATTTTAGTTCTTGTGGACAACTGGTGGTCCATGGACCACAGATTGGGAACCACTGGTCTAAGCATTATCAAATGCCTGCTGGAAAAACCAAGTTTTTAACTCTTTCCTAAAGTGTTGTAGTGTAGGCTGTTAGGGATTGTGGGAGTTGAAGTCCAAAACACCTGGAGGGCTGAAGTTTGCCCATTCCTGGTATATATGTATATTATATTTTATGTTTCGCCTGTGTATATCAGTATAATATAACTTAAAAATGTGTATGTCACATCACACACACATATATATTTGTACTCTGTGTGTGTGTGTATGTGTGGTGGATCAAAAGACACCAAAGGGTTTCAATATTTACTAACTCCTTTATATTTTTATAATAATAATAATAATAATAATAATATTGACCACCTTCTCTCCCCGAAGGGTCTCAGGGCGGTTCACAAGAAAAACAGAAATGGCAAACATTAAACGCCACAAACAAATAAACAACACTCATGGCAAAACATATAATAAATAGACTCAATAAACTTATAAATAGAATACCATAGTATTATATATACAGTATATACTTTTGTCCTACCCTGTATATGTATGTGTGTATCTGTACAGGCAGTCCCCAGATTACAAACACCTGATTTACAAGCAACTTATAGTTAAGAATGGGGCTGACAACAGGAAATGCGAGGAATCTACCCCTAGGAAGGGAAATTCACTCCTGAAAGAGTTGTCATGGGGAAAAGGGGTCTCCACTTAAGCTTTCTCAACACTCCTTGTTTCTACAACAAGCCATTTTTTTCAGAAAGTGAGGTGAAATCTTCTGAAAATGGATTCTTCCATTCCAGCTTTTCCTGATCTAGGTTGCTGTTGTAGTTAGTTTTCCTGCAAAATGATAGGATAACTTACCTACAAACCACACAGAGAAATAATTGTGGCAGGATGTTCATTTGTCATACCTCTGATTAAAGTGCATTATAGTATATGACACCACACAATCTTTTAAAATTATCTAGCATTCCTTTGAAATTAATGTTAACTTTTTGTAGACTTCTTTTTTGTTTGTTTTGGTAACAGATGGGTATATTTAAACTACTACATGGACTGTATTTAGGTTCCATTATGATACATGCTAATCCTCTCAGCACTTTATTCGTTTTTTATTCTTGACAATATAGTACACTGTTTTTAATAAACAGAGATGTGTTTCTGTCTGAATTATCTGGAAAAAACATAATGGAAGTCTGCTATTATTTTATTGGTATATAATACATAATCTAGTATGCTAGGTAAAACTGATGTGAATATTTTAGATTTGTTTCTTAGTAAAATGAAAGTTTGATCACTGTGTTTTGTCATGTTCACTCAGTGATAATATTTTGATTTATTCTGTTTTGAAAACTTCATACACTTAGACTAAAATCACTTAATGTTTTATATTGACAGCTAACATCTTGAGAAATGTGATATGTAGGACATGTTTTCTTTACTGATTCAGTATCTCATTTCTTTATTTCTATATCTGTCTCCCTAGAATGGCCTGCTCAAATTTTAAGATTTTTGCATGAGGGCTTTCTCTTGTCTCATTACTATCACAAGCATGTCTTGTGAGGACAAAAGTGACTGAGAGAGTCTTCCTCAGACTGGCTATCAGGCTGGTTCCTTCTCTGTTTTTTCCTCCTTTCTTCCTACTAGCAGGCAAAGACTTTTTATTGAGACTGGCTTTTGGTAATGAATTGGTTGTTGCAGGAGGCTCTTTTAATAATGTGTGTGCCTGACTTTCTATTCTTATAGTCATAGCTTAAATTCATGCTGTTTTTAATAAGAAAGTTTACTGAAATTTAAAATACAGTATATTCTGGCGTATAAGACTACTTTTTAACCCAAGAAAATCTTCTCAAAAGTCAGGGGTCGTCTTATACACGGGTGTAGTCTTATGCATGGGAGCCGTCTTAACTCTATATTTTAACTGGAAAAGTTGGGGGTCGTCTTATACTCCCAGTCGCCTTATATGCCGGAATATACGGTACTTCTTTGTAATAATAATAATAATAATAATAATAATAATAATAATAATAGATTTGTAATCTGTCTCTTCTAATGGCTCAAGGCAGGGTACAACACAGTCAAAATGTATCAACATAAATACATACAACAGAAAAGCATATATCAAATCACACAACAATATCAAAACACATGGTACAAAGATCAAAATACAGCAGAAGTAGAATGCAAATCCAAAACTTATGGCTCAGAGTTGACTGGGTAGGCTTGCCAGACGAAATGGGTCTTCAGTTGTGTGTTAAATTCTGGTAATTCATTTAGCTGTTGAAGCTAAATTCTGGCAACTCATTTAGCTGTTGAAGCTTCCGGCAGGTCATTCCACAGTTGTGGGGTGGCCCATGAAAAGGTCCTCTGGGTGATGGTAGCCAGCCAGGTTATGGCTGGCTGGAGTAAGTGCACCCAGAGGACCTCAGTGTCCTAAGGATGGATTGTATGGGAGAAAGTGACCTTGTAGATAACTTGGACCAAACCATGTAGGGCTATAAAGGCTATAACCAACACTTTGTCCTTTTGTAATCAGTGTGTTTTCACAATATGTTGTTGTGTGCCCTCAAATCATTTCTGACTTACTCTTTTTATTATAATCACTGTGTTTTCACAGTTTGTTGTGCCTTATGTTTTCCAACTTACGGCAGCCCTAAGATAAAACTACCATAGGTTTTCCTGGTGCTGAGAGTGTGTTACTAGCCCAAGGTTACCCATATGTTTCCTTGACTGAGGGAGGATTCAGATTCTAGTCTCCAGAGTTATAATCTTTTGCTCAAACCTCTACACCACAATGGCTGTGTTTTACAATATTTTGCTTTAATCTATGTTGTAAATCTGCTTACCACCAGAGCCAATGTGGTGTATTGTTGGACTAGGCTTTGAATTCCCACTTGACCACGGAAACCCACTGGGTGACCTTGGGAAAATCAGAATCTCCCAGCCTGCATAGTGACCCTATGTTCAACTGTGGACATGCAAGTGTAACACCAGACTAGATAGCGCACTAGCTAATTCAGAATGG